TGCGCGCGAGCGCGCCTGCGAAGTGAGCGTGGTACTAACACACACGCGCACACGCGCGTCGAAGGGGCAGAAGGCATTTCAATCTGACCCCTTCGACCAATGATAACGGAGAGGCACACAGAGACAGCCATCACTTTTATTAAGTATACAGATTGCCTGGTGATGAATTAATCGAAAACTTTCGTTCGCCTAACTTGACTTCCTTAATGCTTACATGCGTATAATCGCTGAAACCACTATTTACTTGAGAAAATTCAAAGTGCCCAATTGGACACACTCGTCTTCACTGTATAATCTCTATATGTAGTCGCTATATATCTAGTTCATCTCAATATAATCCCTATATATAAGATATCCATATTCTGTAGATAAGGTATAGAGATTATAGAGAGTTTATAAAGAGCCGGCGATTGTGTCCGGTTGGAACTATTGGCCCATTTAAATTATCGTGCGCAAATATTCGATTATTCAAGTAACCCAATTTGTGACCTAAACTGAAGTGTTACCAAGTTTTCTTAATAAGTAGTCTTTATACAGCGCTCATACAGCAAATCATAATATTATAGGCATTTTCAAACGTTAAAACAATCTCCGAATGTTGCTGCTGAAGAGTAAAATTCCTGCTAGTTCAAAGTCGGTGACCATCATAAGTGTAAGAATTAGCTATGGTGAGGTTTGCCTCGAAGAATGCCATTTTCAATTAACTTGGGCTACGGAGGCACGTGAAGCCGGTTCCCAGGAGTCAATCGGAAAAAAAGTTAAAAGGTAACGCGTTTTTGCTGGGCAGCTCGCGGAGTGTTTGCTGAGTGAGCATCCAGTCCAGTGTATTCTTCCCATGCAACCCGGAGGCACATCAAGGTTAACCTAATTAGTTAGTTCATTAGTTCCGCTAGACTCCGTGACGCTAGGTTTTGCGTTTATTGGATAAGCAGAAAAGCTTCAAGTTTCTGCGGGGAGACGAAGTCGGAGTTAGTGCTGATGTGATGAACGTCCAACGCAGCCAATATCAGTGAGTCAGTTGATTTGGAGTAAATGACAGTAGCCCTTATACACTCAATTGAAAGAGCACAACCATGCATAAAGAGCACGCAAGTCGCAAAAAAAATTGTACAGGTCGTATTATTATGCAAATTGCCTAAAAATAACAATGAAATATGAAGGGCAAAAAGCCGAGGCAGTTTCGAACTAACAGTGTACAACATGCTAACTGCAGTTGAACTAGGAAATTTTTATCTGAGTCAACATTAATGTTAACAACAATCTATTGAAATAAAGTAAGTAGCATGATTGTAGTCACTTCCATAATCAGCCATATAGGGCTTTGGAAGTTCGTGTTGACGGTTAACAGGTGATTATCTAGGCGTCCCTTGAACACGCTTACAGTGGGAGAATGCAAAACACACGCAGTTTAAGAATCCTAATGTCTAACGGTTCTTTGGGAGAACGAGGAAGAACGTTGATTTGTGCAGCATAGTTCCTTTAAAAGTTACCAATCATGTTCTCTGCATTTCCTTCTTGGTGCCATTTTAAAGAGATCATCCCACTTGACATTCAGATCAGTTCCCCATAGTAACCATAAGGTCACCTCGGTCTTGCATGTAGTGGGGGGATGCAGATTTAAGGCAGCCAGGCACTGCTCGTACGTCCACTGCTTAAAATCACGGACAGACTTGGTAGCACGTCGTTAGACACCCTCAAGAATCCCTTTGTCCTTCGGAACCCCTGGCCACCAAGCCTGTACCACATATTCCAAGGGCAGCCGCACGAATGCTCCATATACGGTGGGGTGGTGGTGGCGGCGGCGGCGGCGGCGGCCAGATAAAATATTACTTATATCGTCCCCAGAAGGGGAAGAAGAAGAAGTAGAGACGATTTCTGGGACCAAAGTGTATTCTGTCTGACGTTTCAAAAGACAGCTCGCTTCCATCGTCAGAGCGTGGTATCTGATCTCCTGTTCGCGTCAGATA